TTAGTAGAATAATTGGAAATTTTAGGTGAAACAATAAGGACTACCAAACAAACAGTTGTGACAAACGAACCAAGACTTTCCACCTCAAAAAATATTGACATTTATGAATCGTCACATTTTACTTCTGGCAGTGTTTACTCTGATTAAGCAACACCACTAAGGCCGTCCACAACGATAAGTACCTATTTACTCTTTCACTTTATTTTTGTTGGAATTAACATAATGTATTAATCATTTTTAGGTTATGAAATTTGTTTAGATTATTTTCAGCATTGTGAAGGAACAAACAATGTTGACGATGGAGAACATTTTTAATAATATTAGACAGCGGAACGATGAGTGCTTATAATTTTGACTACCTATTTGTTTCCAGAGAAAAACATTTTTACTCCTTTAACTGTAGAAACTGCAGAACATACAAATGTAGAATATCCTCTACTACATATGTGGGTATTTATTTTAGAAATGTTTATCACCTCATTCTTGTTCCAGGTGTGTTGAATATGGGAATACTCAGTATGAAGTGAATGAAATGACTGAACAGGTTTTCCATGTTGCATGGCATTTCAATCGACCAAATCTATTTGAAGGATTAACAATGCTGTCATTAGGATTTTACGAGTATATTAAAAACAGGATAACGTCTGCTGCGAACTTTTTCAGACAGTGGCTTTAGGTTCAAATGTAGGCTTAAGTTAAAGGAGCTGCTAGCAACTATTAATTACGCTCTCCCAAGTGATAATTTTCAAATAGAATATTTGCTGTCTTTGTAAGAATGAGAATATTCCATTGAACAAAAATTGCCAATATGGAACGTTTAAAATCAACATGACATCAGAAAAAGCGAGATTGGATAATAGTTTACGACATCTGTAGAAGTTGTCAAGTCAAGTTTTTGTTAGACGTCTATATTTTTCGTATATTAGACTGTGATATGTTAAACTGTTGGGCTTTCTTCAAGTCATTTTTAGTGGTAGGTGTATTTATTTGTATATTAGTTTTCAGATAAAGGGAGGCTCTGATTAATATATGTAGACTTGTCCTGTTGCTTTCCAGTAAGCATTAGCTATCCATCTATCACGCTCTACGATCACATTATCTGAAAAGTTTTGTGTCGTATATTTATTATTAGGGCGTATTTATTTTTGTCAATAAATAAATGAAATGTGGTTATTTTTTACAAATAAATTTGATTAACTACATGGTACTTTGTTCTTGTGGTTCTATATAATTTTTTCCCTTATCTAATGTGAAAACGTGCAGTTTTATGAAATTCCGTGTCCCTGACTGTACGTAGCAATGGCCATCCAAATCATTTTGTTAATTTTTTGAGGTTTTTACATTCGAAAGCCTTCATACAATAGTGATTGCCAAATATTTTAACAACAGCTGGGGCCTTGATCAGAAGTAAAAAGAAAATTTGCGTAATAAAAAATCTACTATCTTTAGTTTTTACATCATTTTATTACCATAAAAGCTGTTGTAAAATTGATACTTGTCATTTTGGGACTCGGGATGCGTTAAAGAGATTTGTTGGCGATGTGGCAACTACGACAATGGTACTAAGCGGCAATACGGCATGCGCTAGGGGCCCGTTTTTTTGAACTGTAATGCGCACGCCCCGCCGAGATCAAAGGTACCGACAGCAAGTGGACTATCACGTTCATCACTGAAGTCACAACGATGCGTTGTGGCGTTTTTGGGTGTAGTAGCGATAAACAATCAAGACATTTTCAAAAAGACATACAATTTTATTCGTTTCCAAGGGACAAGTATAGGTTATTTCTTCTTGTTGTTCGGACTCTTGTATAGTAAAAATCGGTTGTCTGTAAAGTCGGTTTACTGACGATAGTTGAACGTGACAACGTCTTAAGAAAATAATTTATTAAAATTTCTTAAATTTTGATTTTATTATTTTAATAATATAATTAAATTTTTTCAATAGTCACTTAATTATTTTTGCAAATTAAATTGTAATTTGTTATAAAAAAGTAATAATTTCAAATAATTCATTATAAGAATAAACAATGATTAAATTATTGTTTATAAATCTTACATTTAAAATTTAAAATTTGGAAACATTAAGATTTTCGTAAATCTAGTGTTTAAAAAGCCCGCCTCAATGTGTTTGATATAGGAGAAAATGTTCCCTTTGACGGCTGGCTGGTCCAACCTGTAATTTCAGACACGTTGTTGTGATATGTGGAAGTATTAATATTTATGTTTTAATTTTTTTAAATCATAGCTACGCTCGAAAATTATTTCGATTAAATAGTAAAGCCATCGATTTTTTACTCATCGTGAAATAGTTCTGTTAACTTATTGTTTTAATTTTGTCGCGTTCTCGCTTGCACTTCAAGCCTTACATGGAACGAATTATAAGACGTTGTCACGTCAAAAATGCAAGAGTGTGTTCACAGCATTTTAGTGAAGACGATTTCGAACGAAATTTGCAACACGAACTTCTGAATTATCTTCCTAAAAAAGGAAAAAATACTAAAGTCTGGAGATCAGCCAAGTTAGTTAAAGAAATTTGTTCTAGGGATAGAATCACAGAAATTAAGTAGGTTATTTTACTTGAATATTGATATAAATCAAACATATTCAATTACAAAAAATGTTTTCAAAGAACATCTTATAGGACTCTTTTTTATCAAATATTTAATATTTTCATTTATTTTATAGCACTGAAACCAATAACGCAAGTGCTGCTTTGGATGATAAAACAGAATCTACGAGTAAATCTGTTGGGTATATTGAACATTATTTATTGTATTTACTCAAGGAAAGTACTTTTTTTTTGAAGAATAACTTTTACGTTTGCACGTTTTTTTTGCATGATGTATATTTCTTTCTCAAGGGAAACGATTATTTGAAGACGTAGTATATCCAATATTTAATTATGTTTTTTTACATAGTACAAATACAGATCAAGATATACAGAGAGAAGATCTAGAAGCAAAAATTGCTTATCTTAAAAACAAAACGACGAACTTGTTTTCATAGCTTGACGAAAATCAAGCTATGAAAACAATTTTCACTCCAAGAAAAATTGTTAATTAACATGTAGATTACAGTTCAATAGTACAATGTATTTATTTTTAGTGGTTACTTTTTCTTGTACTCAGTTTCTGAAAGTTTAGAACAGAATTTCTAAAGTAGATTTCTGTTTCAGATAATTATGTTCACGTTAAATGTGCACAATTACCATAACAATGAGTCTGTTCATGATAATCAATAATAAAAACCTAAAAAAGCAAAAAATGAATAATTCTGAAGATCTTCGCATTTTCAGATAACCTGTGCGTTACTAACCAGAAAAATAGCACTTTTTTTTATAATTATCTCCAAATTAAAGCCGCATTTTTCTGTTGAGTACACGAAAAATAATATTAAACGCGAAATTTTAATTTGTTACATACAATAGAAATACGTAGGTTGTACAACACATTTTTTTAAATACTTAACGAATTATAACAATAAAATTAAAAAATATTAGCGATTCTTCCTGCTTTTATGCTGAAATTCCACTAGTTCTACTCACCGAGTGACGTCACTGCGCGAACTGGTTTAATTTTGAGCCGCACGAGTATCATACCTAAAGAATTATTATATCATGATTATAATCAGAATCAGAAAGACGACTGCGCAGATTTATATACCTACATGCTTTGTTAGTTCCGTTCTACAATTGGTTTTTAAGTTTTATATAATTATTATTGTTTTGTAAGAGGGAAAACACTCGGCTTTGAAAATAATTGTACGTAATACACGTATAAATTTAGGTTTCCGAAGGCGAAGTTTTTCACATCTTAAACACGTTATAGCTGCCAGAATCAAGTTTCTAAGGCGGTACCTATCTCAAATTGCGTGATTGTGGTGAAGATTCATTTTTCATTTTCTTGGATGAGACATGGATATACCAGAACGGATCCATGATAATGACATCAAAGCTTGTCCTAAAATAACTAATGAAGGGAAAAGATTCACAATTTTACATGCGGGTTGGTCTTTGGGCTTTTAGAGGGATGCGATTTTCTCCTTGATTCAAAAATAGATTCACCAGATTACCACAAAACCATCACATTTTCGATATTTGACATTTACTTACTTAAATGTCACATTTTTGATACCTACTTTCTGACATTCCAGTAATACATTATACACTAGAACAATTATGTCCGCAGTTACACAGCTTAAAAAAAAAAGTTACCAAATCTAGTTACATCTACCGAACATGAATTCCTTATACATTACTATCGGGTGTCTACCAGCTTTTGTTTTTTTTTCCGTATCTCACTTCCAAAATAAATTTTAAAGACTGGCATCCATTTGTCGCATCGACTGTTGCGAATTAATAATCTTTAAACTGAGTTTGACATCGAAATGACAACTGTCTCGAACACAGACACTACAACATACGGAAAAAACAAACAGCAAGCGGCTATCTTGACCAAATTTTTAAACACACGATATGTCACTGTTCCCAAGTGAATAAAGTAAATAGTGAATTCCAATTAACTATATTGCCAGAGTTTTTTCCATAGGGTTTTCTTGATTTAATAGCAAGATAACAGGTTCAATGTTACCTCTTTTGCCGTCACTGCGATGGTTTGAGAATGACGTTCTTTTGTACTTATTTTCCATTTTAGAAATTTTTCTATTATAAAAAAGACATATCCTTCTGGCGGTTTGATTGGATAACCAGTTTTGGTTATCGTCAAAAAAAAAGTTCGGAAGAAAAATTTTGTATTCGTCTCTGTAATAAGTTAAAAACTCACATTTAGAAAACATGTTTATACGTTATTGGAATAGGACTTACAAAAAGCTTCAAACTGCCAAGTAAAATTCCAAAAGTCACAAAGAGGCAAAAAGTTATGTACCGAAGGCTGGGCATCAACGTGAAGTATTCTCAACAAAACAATATTTTGAAATACATTTAAAATTTATTAAACTCTAAAGGATTACTTAATATTAGAATAACATTTTTACTATCAAGTTTCATTACTGCTATGCCAGTCAAGAAGTGACGAACGCAAAAAGTTTGTTGTTCACTTAAGAAGTGCAGATGGCATATTTTTGATCTTAGCCCATGTTATATTTCTTATTTCACTAACGTCCATTTCGAGATTGTATTCTTCAAATAACAAATGTTTTATTTCAAATGCCAAAAGTGAATCCATACCTAGGTCTAATAAAGTCTTCGCTTCGTCAATGGAATCTACATCTCTAATACCAAACAAATTAGCTACCGACTCGGTAACGCTTTTCTTCCCGTTCATTTCATCACGCTCATCACCATACACCAACGCCCAAACAACTGGCTCGTTTTGTTGCATAAACTGATCCAAAATTTCCAAACAAGAAGTAATGCTTTGAGGAAGAGCTTCTAACACCTTTGCTTTTGTTTTAAGCCTAGCGACAAAACCAACATCGCCAATAGGACCCCATTGCACAGCCAGAGCAGGTAATCCTTCAGCTTTTCTTCTTTCACAGAGGCGTTCCATTGCATTGTTAGCAAAGCTATAACTAGTTTGAGAAGCATTTCCAAGGCTTGAAATAATTGACGAGAACAAGACGAAATGCTCCAGTTGTTTACAATATTTGCGGGACAAAATATCCATATTTTGTGCGCTCCAAAATTTTGGCCCGACCACTGTAGAAAAGGTTTCCTGATTTTGCTCCATCATTAGTTTGTCAATAAGACGTAGTCCACTATTGAAAATACCTCCAACAGGAGCGAGGTTGCATGCGAATCTTAATAAATATTCTGCTCCTTTCATGCTCGTAGTGTCCGAAGTATCAGACAGAACACTGACGCCTTGTTGGTTCCACCTTTGCAAGCATAACGCTTGGTAACCTGTAACTACTCCTCGACGAGAATTCAAAATAATTTTTGTAGCGCCCCTTTCGATCATCCAATTTGCCAGTTCCAAACCAAAACCTCCTAAACCACCTATTATTATATAGCATTTCCTTGGGTCCATATAGGTTCGGGGAAATGCAAGAACCCTGTTGTCTGGTTTATAGAAGAAACCTTCGTTTTCTCTTATTCTGATAATGGATTTCTCTTTGTTACCACTATCTTCACAGTATTTGAAAGCAAGACTAACGTCATATTTATTGAAAACGGAATATTCGAGAGGAATTACAGTACCTTCCGAGACATACTTATTAACGCTATTAGCTATCGATGTCAGTACATCTTCCGTTTCTGTAAGTAAATCGATAAACTTTACGTTGTGCAAACTGCAATTCTCATCTTTAACTGCATCCCAGAAAACCTCAATGGTACTTTTCTCAAATTCAATGAAGCGTCCTTTCTTTGAGAGGCATTTCTTCGACAACTTGATTAACTCAACCGAATTGCAATTAATAATAGCGTCCACGCCTCTTCCACCAGTTTTTTTCATTACAATTTCAAAAAATGGTGCGTCTTTTGAATGTACGATTAAATTGTCTTTAAGAACCGTCGAGAATTTATTTTTCAAATATTGGCTGTCACAACAATCAATAACAACATATGTGACATAATTCTTAAAGGAGGTTAAGACTAATGTGGCCAAACTCACACTATTTGTAAAGTTGTGAATAAGAATCCTATCAGTAGGTTGTAGATTACCTTTGACAAATAACCCATAATAGCTCTATAGAAAGTTATTTACAGATACCTAACATTTTTTTATGTGTTATTAATACTCACGAGGGTGTATGCTAAAGGAATAGTTGCGGCTTCTTCGAAGGAGAATTTTGAATCAAATTTCCAAGTCAGCTGAGGATGAGGTATTATTGTAGTAGATGCAGCACCGCTTGTAACTAATCCCATAATATTTTCCCCACTTCCATCTGTTCCGGAATACTCAATTCCAAGGAAGTCACAGTTTGCATAAGATCCAATTTTACCTGCGACCGTTAATAAATCTCGCTGATTAATGCTGGTACAGTGCACAAAGATATTTTTGTCAGTAGAATAGGGAGTCTTTTCCACCCATTTTAAGTTCACATTGTCTTTAACAAGACAAACATCCGTTAATAATTTTAGCTGAAATTGTTCAAGAGGAAGAAAGCGATAATTTCCCCAAGATTCGTCTTGATAAACATTAACCGTTAAATCTTTCCTTAACTGATTTTGATAAAATTCCGATTTGACTGAAAATGGCATGTTTTTAATAAAACCTCTCATCAAAAATATTCTCAGATTTGGACATGCTTTTTCATGCCGAACTGATTGAAAGAGGCCTACAATGCCAGAATCGAAATCCTCGTTGATTAAATAAATTCGAGAGTGTGGTGATGTATATTGTTCGATAGCTTGTTGTAACTCTTTCAACCAAAAGAAATTTAGATTATTTGCTGAAATAATTGCGTGTTGCTCACAAATATTTTTGGGTGCTCTAAAAAGCACAAAATTTTCGTTTTCGTGGATATGTTTGTAAACAATTTCAACATCAGGTATGTTGGTGTTTTCAACCTTCACAAGAACAAATTTCGCTTTTTCGGTCAATTTGTGAGCTGTTTTTAATTCTTCGTTTGATAAAGCATGAGCTATAAGTAAATCAAAATAGTCTTCATTTCCGTCGCCAAGTGAATCCAGTTTATGGAAACTTGTTCTTTTAAAACTAACTCGTTCCATAATTTGCATCAGCAGCTGTATAGCAGCATCGACTCCAAGTTCGGCAAATTTCATCTCTAATTTTTCCGTACAATTTTCGACAACGATTTGGTGTGCTATGTTAAGACTATGGAAGAATGGATCAAGATTTTTTTGAGTGTCGATCTCTGATACAAAAATATATTTCCCTAAAATTGGAGAAATAGTAGCCTCGTGTTTCTTAACAGTAACTCCTTGTATCCCCCTCATTTCAACACCGCCACATTTCACTGCCTTCACATATTTGTTGAAAATTAAAGTTAAGTCGACATCCATATCGACAATCTTTAAATGTGTTCTGGGATCGACTATAATTTTATCGAACTTTATAGGTAGACACAGCCCACTTGTTTCTACGCCCAACACATAATGTACCATAACGTCCATAAAGGATGTCCAGTTATCGTACCATCGTAATGTAGCGCAGTTTGAATCAAGATCGGCACTTTGAACACCGAGGAATAAACCGTCGTAACTATATCCCCTTAAATGCATATGCTGGTAAAAGTCGTCTTTGCTTATTTTTGCCCCAGAGTTGTTATTTGGGGTTAGGTGTGAATAATCTAAAAATTCGTCCTCAATTCTTTCTACGAAATGTATTCTCCCTGCCGATAAAAGAACCGCTTCTTTGACTTCACAAATTTCAAAATATCCACTCGACTTGAAAACGTTGACGTTCAAAACTACATTACTTCTTTTTGATAAAAGAATGGGTCTCATGATTTTTACGTTTTCGAAAACGACGGGTAGCTTTAAGTGGTGTTTTCCCATCATTTTAGCAAAAGCTTCCCACACTAATATCTGTAACAGCAAATTTTCAACTTGACATAGTTTATGCAATAATGTAGGTAACTCACTATATAACCTGTTGCGGGGAAAATCACGTTTCCATCAATTACGTGCCCTTTTAAAAACTTCTTTTTTTTATCTGTCATATCAATTTCAAATACATAGCCAAATGAACTTTCATCATTGTATTTAGGTACATCCCACCTATTCCCGTGGTCCCATCTGATCAAATTAGAAATCATGGGAGTATCGATACTAACAGGAAAATTTACGAAATTGTAATACTTTCGTAAATTTGGTTGTCCACCATTGATATACAGTTCGCCTATACTTGAATAGAAAAAGTCCAGATTATTAACTCCAGGCTTAGCTAGTGGTAACAATGTTACGCTTTTATCTAGTCCTCTTTTCAGTATAGCTTGAAGTAGTCCTTTAGGGGCCACCTCAACTAAAATGGCATCCTTAGGAATATGCTTCAGCAGCTGTCTGAAATAAACTCTGTTGATATAGTTGTGATGCTGATACTCTGCAGAATTATATCTGCCCAATTCACTCTTCCATTCACTTTCTGGCAGTGCCGATGGTAACCAACGTTTTGTTCTTTCTTTCGTTCCAGGTAACACACTTTTAACAAAACTGTACATTTTTGGGCCTGCTGAAGCCATATGAGGACAGTGGAAAGCACCTCCAGCTGTCTCTACAACTTTATTAAAAACTCCTGTTGCAGTAAGAATCTCTAAGAAACCCTTAACCGGTTGGACGGCCCCAGCTATAGTAACTGATTCATCTGAATTATCACAAGCAATATAAACATTGTTGGGCAGAAGTTTTGAACACTCTTCAGAGGAAAGTCCAACTGCTGCCATTAAACCAGGCTCTAGATTTGAATTTACCATAGCATAACCCCGAGCATATGCAATCAGCGTTGCTTGTTCAGCTGTTATCAAACCGTCGGCGTAAGCACAAGCTAAATTTAAGATTTTAACGGCAACAGGGATATTTTTATGGAAAACTTACCAACTTCACCCAAAGAATGACCTATAATGCCATCAGGTTTAATATTTAACGCTGTAAGTACATCAGTTAAGCATACGGATACTGCGGTAATAGCAGTGAACGTGTTAATAAGGTTCTTAAACGTTTTTTCATCTCCATTGTCAATAATATTTTCTAAATCAACTCCATACTGTCGGACCGCACCAGAACATTTTTGCATTGTGTATCGGAACACCTCAATTTTCATTAAATCTCTACCCATATAAAGCCACTGAGAACCAATTCCAGAATATACGTACCAAATAGGGCGTGTCTTTGATAAACATTGCTGTACATGATGATGACTTTCATCTGACAGAATAGCGTAACCTCGATAAATGTCGGCATCAATGGTTCTGCTGTATATATTATCTATTAAAGCCAAAAATTCTGCATTCGCTTTATTTTCAATTGTTTTTTCTAACATCAGTTTAACTCCTTCCTCAGTTCTTCCTGAAACGTTCACTAGACGGTAGCACAAACTATTGACAAGTTTTCTTTTTTCGGGGTATGGTTTCAACACGACAGTTCCATTTGCACCTCCAAATCCGAAGGCGTTTACCATTATCAGACCTTGAGGTATGGGTTTATGATGGTCCATTACCTAGATATCGAGAAATTGTCATTCTACGTGAAATTTTATCTTAAATAATCTTAATTTTGTTGTGTGACAAAAACAAACGCGCATAGCTTGCCTATCTTAAAAACCCACCTTTAGGCGTCCTTCATGTATCCCTTTAATTTTAGGATCTGGATTCTTATAATGTAAATTCCCAGGAATGATCCCTTCACGAATAGCAATTATAACCTTCGATATAGATACTAAACTCGAAGCAGTTTCGCTGTGGCCTAGGTTACTCTTTACAGAACCAATGAGCAATGGAAAATTGCGGCTCCGATTTTGGCACAGATATTCATCAATAATTTCCGCTTCTTCTAAATCACCTACTGCAGTTCCAGTACCATGAGCTTCTACATAATTCACAGCTAATGGATCAATGTTAAACCTGTTGAAGACAGCCTCAAACATAGCTTTAATTGCTGCTTGAGAAGGGTGGTTAAGTCCTTCCTTTGTGAAACCATTAACATTGGTACCACAACCAGAAATCATGGCATAAATTCTTTTACACTCTTCGCATTTTTGCAAAACTACAGCTACAACAGCTTCCGATTTCACGTAGCCTTTTCTATTTAAATCAAAGAATCTACACACTCCTTCTAAATGCAACACTCCAAATCTTAACATCTCTACGCTTTCGGCTGGGTCGTACTGACTCTGTGCGACACACACGATGGCCATTGAACATCTTCCAGACAAAATGTTATCTACAGCTTGATTGAGGGCATACAAACCGCTGGAACAAGCTGTATCCAAAGCGTAACTCGGTCCCCTAAAGTCAAACATGTACGATACCATGTTTGCTACAATTGCTGCAGATCTTTGCACAATTCCTCCTTTGAAACCTAGATCCGAGTATAGATTTTGACTTATGCCTAAGAACACCCCTGTATTTGAACCTCGTAGTTCTCGTGGATTTAAACCAGCGTCCATTAAGGCTTCGAACGTTACTTCTAAAAGTTTTCGTAGTCGTGGATCATTAATATTTGCTTCTCTTGGATTCATTCCAAAGAAATCGGCGTCAAAGTGTTCAAAATCTTTGACCAAGCCCAAACGAGGCGATGTTCCTAAAGATTCAAAGGACCAGCGATTGTGATTATCTGTCACTAAGTCTTGTCCAGCGAACAGAGCTTTTTGTAGTTCTTCCATATTGCCGCAACTAGGATAGCGGCCAGAAATACCAGAAATCGCAATAGAATCCTTGCCTGAATTCCTTAAAAAGTTTACGTCGAAAGTGAAATTTCTGACAATTAAGAAGATATTAATAAAGTCTTTGTCATTTCTGTTGAAACAACACTTGTTGATTGTAAATTTGGCAATAGTCACATTCGGACTGGTCTAATTTCACTATTGTGTTGTACCCAATATGAAATGTCACACCAGATTATTTTGTCAAAATATTCAAGTTAAAAGCACTAACAATTTTTTTTGTTTTAAAATAAAACAAAGAAAAAAGGCGAGTAGTTATGTGTGCTGAGATGAAAAGGGCTATGATACAATTATTATATGATAAAGTCCACAGATACTTTCTATTTTTACATTTAATCAGCATATTGACTCCTTACGTGCAAAGTGTGCAAAAATGTTGGGTTTCATACTATGAAATTGCAAAGATTTCTGTAATGTGCAGTCCCTTAGTACTCTTTATTGTGCGTTAGTACGTTCAAATGTAGAGTACTGTTGTATAGCATGGTACCCATATTACAATAAACAAATTAACACACTGGAAAATGTACAACGTAAATTTTTAAAACACCTCTATCATAAAGACACCGGAATCTGGTCCCGCAGAATCTTTTACTGCAAAGGTTTAATTTTGATACATTAAGTACTAGAACAATTTTGTTACTTCTAATCTTTCTCTTCAAATTAACTAACGTCTCCACTGATTGCTCTGAATTACTATCCAAATTAAATTTCTATGTGCCAAGAATAAATTTCAGATATGCCACTACCTTGTACTGTCCTACACCTCGTACAAACATTGGTCGAAAGGCTCCATTGTATTTATTTTCGCATTATTTAAATAAACTGGTATCAATTAAATAATGGGATATATTTTATAGTTCTATAACCCAAATGCGTCAAATAGTAGTAAAAAAGTTTTGATCATTAAGAGATATGGTTTTATTTTTGTAATTTTAAGTTAAGGGGTGATTCAGTTTTAGATTTAGTTTTAATAGGTATATCATTTACACACATATAAATTTAATTATTTATATTTATTTTCATTTTGTATAAGCATGTATGTAAAATTGTCCTTTAAATGGAATGTAATTTCTGTTGGGCAATAAATGCTATTACTAATGTGGTCTAGCACAAAACTATTTCTGCCAAAATTTCAGAAATCTTTTCCGTAAATTAAACAAGTGTCTTTTAAAAATTTCGAAAAATTTACGTATTGACATTAATCAAAATTGAAACTTTAAGTATCATTGAGGTTGGATGACAGAAGAGAGCATACCTCATTTGACCAATATTAAAGAAACGTTGGAAAAACAACTCCACACAAGAGTCATTTGTGACGCTTCCCGTACCACATCGGAAGCGGTCGGTGGTCAGCAAAGGATTAGAGGCGGTAGTTTAGTTTAAAATACATTCATAGGGAATACAAATATCTTACTACTTGTGTAATTATGGCATAAAAACAAAGATATTCCTAACAACATAATAATTCAGGTACATTTTACTGCCACTGATTTTATATTCTACCTTAATAAATTATTTTTGTATTTTATCCCCAGTACTCGGCAAACACTTTCCAGCACGCCACTGAAACAATTGGTTTTTCAGAAAGCTGGAAGAGCCATTTCTAACCCTATTCGAAAGCGCGACATCAGTCACGTTTTCAAACCATCTTCTCTCCTCTCATTCTACCTCCATGGGTTTTGTTTTCCCGATTTCTTCTTTAATTGTTACATGAATTTTAAGCTCTTTGATTCTTGAAATACCAATGCATTTCTACTTTTCCAGAGATCTTTTATTACTGCCTATAGAATTATCAAATCACATATAAAAGATGAAATCTTACATGATTTTAAAATAGGCGCCAATCGTCCCGTCAAAACGTATATTGTACCATATTGTATATTCTGTGGAATACGAATATAAAAAATTGGTCGAAGTTTATTTCGACAGAACTTCCCTCATGCCTGAACTACTTCTTTGAAAAATTATAAAATTAGATTTTGCGATGTTTGTTTTGTGATAACCTCTATAAACTGAAAACCAGCGGCATAAGTAACATCCACGCACTTCCTGCGCCGTGGGGATGCAAATTGCAAGGAATTATGCGAATTGCACAAGTACCGAGAATGCAAAATATATTTAAAGCTGATAACCAACGAGAAAAAAATGGTCTGTCAGGAATAATAACAACTTCAATTTCAAATGTTTGTTTATATATCGGAAGAATGCCAGATAGAAATTTAATTTAATTTTAATTTGAATGAGTTTTTTGCCTCAAAACAAAGGACAAACATTATTAAATAAACCACAGTCGAACAGAATGTCCTAAACATTATTATTCTAATTGTTATTAAATAAAGACGTGTATATTCTCACCTTTTTGAAAAAATGGGGTGACTCGTTCTTAATTTCATTAATAAAAATATTGTTATGACGTTAGAAACATAAATAATACACAGCGCGAGAGAAAAAGAGAAACGGCCAAGTTTTTTTTTTGAACATGTGGTCGTTTAGGAAAAATCTCAAAGCGAATTTCTACACCACAAGTTTAGGAGTATTTAGCTGTATAGCATATAAATCATTTTAAAATAGACTTCTTTGTAGTGACGTCATCAAATACAATCTACATAAGATTCCTAATATAAGTACATACAAAATTTGACAATAATTGGTTCTGTAGTTTCAGAGATTACGTGTCTAATAAAAATAGACACAAACATCGGACAGACAGACAAACAGGCAGACACACAGTCGGAACCGGGAGACCACTTTTTTGTATTATAGGGGCTATGAAACGTTGAGAAAACATAAAAGTGACTATTTGTTCGATAGACGCGATTTAAAAAGTTGATGGTCGCCGTACTCTAATACAAAAACCACTGATTACGCGATTGTTGCCTTGAATGAAATTTGGCTTTACCAAAATCAGTCCTGCTAAAATATAAATCTATTCAACTTACTTAAAGAGGCAATCACTCAAAGAAACATCTGAAGGAAAGCGTTTTACCTTTCTTCACATAGATTGTTCTGATAATTTTCTAGGTGGAACAATAAAAGAAATAATAAAACTACCATTAAAAAATGTCTAGTTCCATTTTCTTTAACTCAACGAAAGACCAACTTATTTACAATAAGATGTTTAGGAGTCCGCCTTTCCAGAACACGTGATTATAACTCAAATAAGTTTAATAATAATGATGAAGTCATTACAATATTTATTAATATTGATAGTAAATAAAGAGATTTATTTTTTTATATTTGTTCCTATTAACGTAAAAATGTCAAAATTACCATTTTCTAAATAAAAACCGTTCTCAATAAACCGAAAGACGCATTGCTAAATTTTAAGCAAAATCAACAGGTGGTGTTTCAATAAAAATGGCAAAGACAATATTTTAAACAACTTACATGTTGTATGCGAACTATATAACACGACTCAGATTTTAGATTGACCAATTCCACCAGTTTCGCACTCTTTTATAACTAGGCATTAATTAGCATTTGAATTACAAGCTGGTTTCACAAAAAACAGGAAAAGATGAACAAATCAAATTCTCATAGATCAATGAAAAGCAATGGGAATATGAGGTCCATGGCACTGCCATTTTTCCCGTTTTTTTTTTAAACCAGCTGTATATAAATTATTATATTAGTTTTAAATTTATATAACAAGTTTCTAACCATAAATTACCGCACATGTCGTACGTCAGCGGGTAAATTGAAAATCTGGGTAACAAGAACCTACTAAGAACAAGATTTATACTTAACTTAGACAAAAATAAAGTGTAAGCTGAACTTATTTAATAGAGTGACAAATCGTCCAAGAAGAAATTGCATTAGGTGGGTTCTTAAATTTTCGTTAATATTTAATTTAGTCATTATTTTCTCTCCCTTGGTTTCGACTTTTTAATAAACAACTACAGACGATACCTATTGTTTTTTCTTCAAAACAAATTATTCCTTGTCTGGAACTCGCCGTGGCCTATGCACTTTTTATATTCCATTGTATTTTAATAAACGAGTCACATTATCATTCAAAAAAAAAGTTGTAGCAAAAGTACTCAGTACACAGGGTGTTAATAAATAATTTCCATCTAGTGTGCTATGAAATTCGTTTATTAATTGCCGCGTCATTTAACTTTTTAATAAAATAAATAATATATCAATTTGTTGCTGAACTTTCAATCAAATTTTAACGTTTTTGGCTTTAATTCTCAGAGGATACTGAGAAACGTGGACCCCAGAAGAAGCCTGTTTTCGATCTGGCCAAGAGTTGGGTGGAAAATGGCAATACTCAACTTCTGCCTCCAAAAAATTGCAATTTTCGAAACGACAAATTTCTTGGGCGTGTTCACGAATCCCTTGTATAGATCATTTATTAACATCCTGTAGTGTAAGGTGATCAGGTGATATAAGTGACTGAAAATTATGTGATGTCTGTTCGTTGTTAAAAAAATGTTTTTTTCACTTGTAACCCAGAAGCATACAATTATGGAATTATTCAGGGAAAATGAAGTTGTTTATTATAGATTTAGGGTCTTAACGAAAATCGACAATCAACAGATTTTTGAAATTACGGGAGGTCTACATGGTTCATTGTCTGATACAGTTATTTCTTAAGAATGATGCTGCGAAATTTATTCTTTTTATGAGAACCCATATGAGTTGAAAAAAACATATGTATACATATAATGTTAAAGTAAATGTAAACAACCGTGCTACGCGTTTGTTTCAAATGAGTTTTTACCTCACAAAATTTTGTGATGATATCATCAACATTTTTGCAAGAACACGTATGTCAACTTGGATCGGTGCAGTGGAATACTAGAATAAAAAAAGTTGTTCCGATAGAACATCCCTCGCTCCTGAAGTACAGTGATACACATCCAGGATTTTCGAGTTGAGTTTTTTCTTTATACAATTTTGAGATGACGTCTTCAACACTTTTGCAAGAATATGTATATCAACTTGGATTGGTACAGTGTAAAACTACAAATAACAGTATTGTATTCCCAACATTTTCTGGGAAAATTGAGTGAGCCGTTCCTGATTTAATCAATAAAATAACTGGACTCATTCATTAATTTTTTTGAACCACCTGTTTAAGCAAATCTAAAAAATATGAACGCAGTGATAAATCACAAGTAAAAACTCATCATATTCTGCACATTTTGGGTACAATTTATTCGGCAAATTTTTGAGATGACTTCATCAATTTTTTGGGGAGAAATAAACAGATATATTCTAATTAACAATTTACCATGTAATCCATGTATACAATAAATTTAAAACGTCTGCAAGATTTCAAGGCATTCGATTTTGCAGTTCTTGATTTATTCTATAAAATAAACCGATACATCCATTTTTTTCAGTCTCTCTGTATAAGCAAATCTGAAAAATAATAATGCGATGATAAATCACAAGTGCACACTTGTGATTTCTTAGGCAAAATTTTGAGATGACGTCATCAATTCATTGGGGGATATAAACAGAAACATTTTAAATGCAAATTTTGCCACGCTCACCATAACTTCAAAACGTCTCGTCCGTCTGCAAGATTTAAAAGCATTCGGTTTTATTGTTCCTGATTTAATCAATAAAATTAATTAACAAGTGAATTTATTTTATCGATTAAACCAGAAATTTTGCACACGTTTTAATTATCGTAAGCATGGTAAATTTTTAACCAAAATATATTTGTTGTTTCACCCAAAAAATGGATGACGTCATTTCAAAATTTTGCCGTGCAAAATGTGATTTTGAAATTACTTATACAGGGCAACTCAAAATAATTAATGAATGACGTCAGCGAATAGTTGATCATTGTTGTCTTCATATTTTTAGAATTGCTAATCAAGGATGAGTCAAAAACTTAATAAATGATTCAATTTATTTTGCTTTAAGAATGTGGCGACCCAATTTTTATTATTTACACTAAAAACGTGGTATGTTTTATTGCAAACTTATTGCAGAATTGTGTGCATAGATTCTCAGTAGGAGAAATTGGAAAAAAAAAATAGGTATTTCGTTTATCACAGCGTCATCTGTCATGAGTCTAAAGAAATGTTTTAGACAAATCCTACGTACTTTTAGCCATAGAATTCGAATCTGTGATAAAAATCGGGGTTTGCAATAAAATATTTCCCCCACGGAATGATTAAATTTTGAATTTGGACATTTTTTGTACAGTGCTTAAGTATTTTTCGAGATATTTGAAATTTTCAGGTTAAAAAATCTTCCTGTAGATATTTAAGGGCTAGTCATTACATGCTCGGCGTTCCCTATAACAATGCTCTGTGTGTAACCAGAGATTTACTTTGGCAGTAAACTGTTTGTAGTTCATGTATTATTAACACATATAAGTAGCAGTAAAAAAAATTGATTTAATCTAAAATCAATCTCAAAAGCTTTCTTTTGAAATTTTCTCTAAAAATTCTTTAATTTAATAACTTACGAATTAACCATCTGGAAATATAACATTTAGATACATTTTTACGTACTTTACATTGCTAAATTCTAAGTTTATATCAGTTTATCAGTCAATAGATGCTTTTTCAAAGTCCCTAGCGACTATTTTACGTTCACATTAAGCTGATAGATATAAGAAATAATTAATTTTTTTGTGTTACTTTCTTAAAGTTATTGCTAAAATATTATAACACAGTATATTTTAAACTTACTTATATTTTAACTATACAAGTATTATTACAAAACACATTTTGAAATACATAGTTCAAAAACTTCATCAAAAATATACCCTTCTTTGCAGAAACATCCAGAGCTACAGACGTCTTCACACACGGGATTAGGGTTTTGGCATGTGGGTGGACAAGCTGACCCACATTCATTATACTCTTGATATGGTAGACAATATTCTACAACGAAAAGACTTCACTGACAAAAATATACTGTGAACGCAAAAGAATTACCATCACAAGAAGATTCTGCAACACAGGAACCTTGAGGCCCATTTTTCTTAAATCCTTTGTTACAAAGACAGCCTTCGTTGCAAATTAAAAACTCACAATGTCTTTCATAAGGAATTTGACAAGTGGGTACACAAGGGTTCAAACAGTCTGTATACGTTTCGTACTCTGTGCAAGTAACTGTGCTATTGTCTCTAACTGGAACTGTTAAAACACGATACAATATTAATAGCTAAAAATTACATAAATAGTAAAAAATACCTGCTAAAAGTGTACTTAAAAAAGTGCACATAAAAAAAAGGAGACGGTACATATTTGAACGTAATCAGTCGTTAACTGGATCGTGATTCAAAATAAAACTAATATACAATTTTTTACAAAGCGTTATTTATAGTAGCTTCTTAGATTATCTAGTCTTGATAGGTCGTATGATTGAAATACCTAAATTGATTGACGTAAACAAAATAAATATTTCATCTGATTTGTTAAAAACTAACCAACCGATCGATAAATACAGGTACAAAATATTAAGAACACTCATTTTTATCAGTTATCTAGTTTGTTTATAACATTTTTGTGCGAAATATCTTGGTCTATTTAAAGAACCTAATTTTGTCACAAAGAATTTGCTTTTTAATTAGGTATTCCGATACCTATATCTCTGTTAGTTAACTTAAATTAAAAAAATTGGTCTAAAGAGTTTAGACAGTACTTCCCTCGCTGTCGGAAACTTGACGACTGCATGGCTATTGTGTTTTTTTCTCATTACATTTTTGTAGTGGGAATTTAAAAAAAATTGCGATGACGTCATCAACATTTTTGCAAGGACACGTATATCAGTTGGGATAGATGTAGTGTAATACTAAGAATAAAATTATTGTATTCCCAAATTTTCGGGAAAATGAATTGGGTCGTTTTGAATATTGATTTTTTATAATCAATAAAATAACGAAACAATTTACTCGCGTATACGGCAACTGAAAATCGTTTATGTATAAACATTCTTAATTTAAGATGACAAGCGTAACAGCATACGTGAAAGTCAAACAGAGAAACTGTAAACAAAACGACCATCGGTTTTATTGCTTCGACTTCCGCTTATTATATAAAACATTGGGTTTTATTTTAATTCTTGACGGTGAAATTCACAATTGGTTGATTATAAACATGTCTATTTCACATTCGCGGAACCAAGTGATCGCATAAAACAAATGCAGGTCTGTAATGTTAAAGTCGATGTAAATAAGCGATGCTACCCTTATGTTTCAACCGAGTTTTTCCTTTAACAAATTTTGTGTCTACCAAATTGGGTTGGTTGGGGTGTAATACTAATAATAAGTGTTGCCTTTAATTTAATCAATAAAATAAATTGACTTCATTAATTTTTTTGAACCACCTCTTAAGAAAATCTAAAAAATATGAATGGAATGATAAATCACAAGTACAAACTCATCATATTTTTTGCATTTTAGATAGGATTTATTCAGCAAAATTTAAGGGTGACG